ATATATATATATTTAATATTTTTCTATCATTTTTTTAATATTTATTTAATTTTTTAAGACATCTCCCTTTAAAAACATGTGCTGTAATTAAAATCTGAACACAAAAAAGTGCCACCAAAAAAATGTATGTTTCTTTCTATTACATCAGGGGTGTCCAATCTCGGTCCTGGAGGGCAGGTGTCCTGCAAGTTTTATATCCAACCCCAATTAAACACACCTGAACCAGCTAATCAAGCTCTTTCTAGGTATACTAGAAACTTCCAGGCAGGTCTGTTGAAGCAAGTTGGAGCTAAACTATGCAGGACACCGGCCCTCCAGGACCGAGTTTGGACACCCCTGCATTACACTGAAGATTCATACACTTTATGAATATCTCAAAATGGACAAGTTGCATCAAAAAAGCATAGTTTTCCCCCTGCAGTGTTTTGCCTAAGATAATGAGAAGAACTTAGTCGAAATTAGTAATATGAAATGATTTAAGTGTTTTCTCCATCATCAGGCATCATGGTGAAGTTTGCAGCGTTTGTTCGAGAGCACTGGGTCAATATTCTGGTGCCCATGGGTTTCCTCATGGGTATTTATCTGGACCGGTGGAATGACCAGAGACTCACAGCGTTCAGGAACAAGAGCGCTTTATACAGCAGGTCATTTGAGCTCTTATCAACTCTAAGTGTGTGTGTGTGTGTGTGCTAGTAAGCGAATGTGTTCTGAGTGTGTACCTGTGATTTCAGGGAACTGAAGCCCGGTGAGGAGTACACCTGGAAGTGAGGCGCCGCCACTGATATTTATTGGATCCGATTCCCACCATGTGTATATTGTCTGTGCAGCGACTGTGTCTCTGATTGCAAACAGGCTGCAATAAATTGTCAGTTTAGTTCTGTAATGCCTCGTGCTTTTGATTTCTCAGAGCTTAAGGACAAGTGATGGAACACTGAAACTCCAAACTCCTCATCGCATTAATAATCATATCATAAATATAATGGAATTAGATTTCTGATTTCCATTCAGGGATTATTCCTATGATATGGGCAAAATAACATCAATAGTACAGAATCTTCATTCTTTTATAAACGTCTGATAAATAGATTAGATATATAAATAATACGAAGATATATTGAAGTGCTAATCTAGTATTGAGATATTATTATGAATGTTTTATTCTAATTAACAGAAATAGTTTATAGTTTTATGATTTAGTCTTCATTAAATATACACTCACATATCTGTCCATCCATCTGTGTCTGTCTATGCATCCGTTCATGCATCTAGCGATCTGTGTCTGTCTATCCATCCATCAATATACAGTACTTATCAGTCAGTTCGTCCGTCTATCCATCCATCAAACTGTCTATTCATCCATTCATCTGTCTATACATTTATCTATCATCCCGTCTGTCCATACATCCATCTTTATATTAATGCATCTATCGATCTATCCATCTGTCTGTCTGTCTATCCATCTTTCTATTCATGCATCTAAGTCTGTCTATCCATCCATCCGTTTATTTATTCATCCATCTATTTGTCTGTTCATCTGTATTCATCTATCCAACTGTCCATCCGTCCATTTATCTATCTATCTATCTATCTATCTATCTATCTATCTATCTATCTATCTATCTATCTATCTATCCATCTATCCATTCAACTGTATATTCATCTATCCATCCATTCATCTATCAGTCTGTCTATTTATCTATCCATCCATGTCTATTCAGCTATCCATTCATGTGTCTATCCATCCGTCTATCTATTCATCTATCCATCTGTCTGTCTATCTATTCAACTATCTGTTCATCTATTCATCCATCCATCCATCCATTTATTCGTCTATCTATTCATCAATCTGTCTGTATATTCATCTATCTATCCATCCATCTCTTTAACTATTGGTCTATCCATCCATCTAGTCAACTATCTGTCTATTCATCCATCAATCCATCCATCTATTAATATATCTATCAATTCATCTATCTGTTTATCCATCTATCCATCCATCCATCTATTTATCTATCCTTCTACCTATACATCTGTCTATTCATTCATCCATCCATCTGTCTATTCATTAATCCCTCCATCCGTCTATTTATCTATCCTTCTACCTATACATCTGTCTATTCATTCATCCATCCATCTGTCTATTCATTAATCCCTCCATCCGTCTATTTATCTATCCTTCTACCTATACATCTGTCTATTCATTAAACCCTCCATCCATCTATTTATCTATCTGGCCATCTATCGATCCATCTGTCTATACATTTCTCTATCCGTCTATTCATCAATTAATCTGTCTATCTATTCATCTATCTGTTTATTCATCAATCCTTCCATCTTTCTATTCATCTATCTGTTCATCCATCCATCTACCCATTCATCTGTCTATTCATCCATTCATCTATCTATTCATCTATCCATCTGTCTATCTATCTATTCAACTATGTTCATCTATTCATTAATCCGTCCATCTATTCATCCATCCATCCATCCATTTATCCGATCCGTCTATCTATTCATCTATCCATCCATCTCTTTATTCATCAATCTGTCTGTATATTCATCTATCTATCCATCCGTCCGTCTATTCATCTATCCATCCATCTATCTAGTCAACTATGTGTCTATTCATCCATCAATCTGTCCATGTATTAATATATCCATCAATTCATCTACCTGTTTATCCATCTATCCGTCCGTCTATTTATCCTTCTACCTATACATCTGTTTATTCATTCATCTATCCATCCATCCGTCTATTTATCTGGCCATCTATCTATCTATACATCTATCCATCTGTCTATACATCAATCCATCTGTCTATCTATTCATCTATCTGTCTAGTCAACTATCCATCTATCTGTTCATCTATCTATCTATTTTCTCAGAGCTTTATGACCAGTGATGGAACACTGAAACTCCTCATCGCATTAAAAATCATATCATAAATATAATGGAATTAGATTTCTGATTTCCATTCAGGGATTATTCTTATGATATGGGCAAAATAACATCAATAGTCCAGAATCTTCATTCTTTTATAAACTTCTGATAAATAGATTAGATAATACGAAGATATATTGAAGTGCTAATCTAGTATTGAGATATTATTATGAATGTTTTATTCTAATTAACAGAAATAGTTTATAGTTTTATGATTGTGTCTTCATTAAATATACACTCACATATCTGTCCATCCATCTGTGTCTGTCTATGCATCCGTTCATGCATCTAGCGATCTGTGTCTGTCTATCCATCCATCAATATACAGTGCTTATCAGTCAGTTCGTCCGTCTATCCATCAAACTGTCTATTTATCTGTCTAATATACATTTATCTATCATGCATCTATCATTCTGTCTGTCCATACATCCATTTTTTTATTAATGCATCTATCAATCCGTCTGTCTATCCATCTTTCTAATCATGCATCTAAGTCTGTCTATCCATCCATACAGCCATCTGTTTATTTATTCATCCATTTGTCTTTCCATCTATTTATCAAACTATCTATCCATCTTCCTATTCATCAATCCATCCGTCCGTCTATTTATCCATCCATGTCTATTCATCTATCTATCCATCCGTCTATCTATTCAACTATGTCTATCTGTTCATTTTTCCATCAATCCGTCTATCTATTCATCCATCCATCTATCTGTTCATTAATCTGTCTGTATATTCATCTATCCATCCATCCGTCTATCAACTGTTGGTCTATCCATTCATCTAACTAGTCAACTATCTTTCTATTCATCCATCCATCTATTAATATATCCATCATTTCATCTATCTGTTTATCCATCTATCCATCCATCTGTCTTTTTATCAATCCTTCTATCTATACATCTGTCTATTCATCAATCCTTCCTTCCATCCATTTATCTATCTACCCATCTATCTATTCATCTATCCATCCATCTGTCTATACATCTATCCATCCGTCTATTCCTCAATCCATCTGTCTATTCATCTATCCATCTGTTTATTCATCAATCCTTCCATCTGTCTATTCATCTATCCACCCATCTATAGTCAACTATCCATCTATCTGTTTATCTATCTATTCATCCATCCATTTACCTTTTCATCTGTCTATTTATCCATTCATCTATCTATTTATCTATTCATCTGTCAATTCATCAATCCATATGTCTTATCTATCTATCCATCCATCCATCTATTCATCTATCTATCTTTCCACCCATCCATCTATTTATCTATTCATGTATCCATCCATCCATCTGTCTATTTATCTATCCATCTGTCAATTCATCAATCCATGTCTTTATCTGTCCATCCATCCATCTATTTATCTATCCATCTTTCCACCCATCCATCTATTCATGTATCCATCCATCCATCTGTCTATTCATCTATCCATCTTCCCATCCATCTATCCATCCAACCATCTGTCTATTCATCTATCCATCTAACCAAGCATCTGTTTATTCATATATCCATCCATCCATTCGTAGATCTACCTGTAATGCCTATCTGTGACTATCCATTCGTCAGTCCATCCATTCATCCATCTATCTATCTATTCATCTGTTCGTCAGGCTATTCATCTGTCAGAGTCTATTCATCCATCCCTGCATCTGTTTCTCCATCTTGCTCTCCATCCATCTATTTATCTGTCTGTCCATCTCTCTATTCATGCGTCTATCTATCAATCCATGTCCGTCTGTCTATCCATCCATCTATATCTGCATCCGCCAGTCCATCCATCCATCCATGCATGAATGAAACTCCCAAAAACTCTTCAGTTTATTTCTGAAGATTTTTTCTACACAAAGGATCATTTCAGTTTACAAAACATCTCTGTAGTTTGAAAAGATGACAAGCATTCAAGGTAGAGTACTCGGTGCTTTATTGAGCTGTTAGCGGTTCAGCGGTGAAGATCAATCCCTTCTCGAAGAGCAGCTCGGCCAGAGACATCTGCAAAACACAACATAACACCTTCGCTTAAACCAGAAAAGAGTCCAGTTCAAGAGATAGTTCACCCAAAAATGAACATTCCTCCATTATTTACTTTCCCTTGTCATACATCTGTTTGAGCTTCCCCTGTTAAACATTAAAAAAAAAGATATTTAGAAGAATGTTAAAAAACCATTGCTTCCCACAATATTTGTGTAATTTTTCTACAGTGGAAGTCAGTGGTAACCAGTTTACATCATTCTTCAAAATATCTTCTTCTGTGTTCGACAGAAAAGTAAAGGTTTGGAACTCCTTGAGGGTGAGTAATTAATATTGTTTTGGTTTTGTGAATGAATTATTAATTAAAGCAGTACCTTAGCCTCCGCCGTCTCGCATGGTAAACTAGCCACAGACACAAACTTGGGATATGAGTGAATCAGAAACTCCATGGCGTCGATGTGCTGTTCAGAAATATACAATCAGACAAATGCTTAAATGCTTCAATTTCAGACAGGAGTGTTTGTTTACCTCTGTTTTCATCTCAAAGCTCTTGGATGCTTCTTTATGGTAGACTCTGGAGTTTTCAGTGGTGTAATAAAGATGTACAGTGTCTCCATCACTGCACAACCTATATGGAGAGAGATATAAGCCAGATTTATTTTCTTTTAAATCACCACAAAATCTAACTATGAACAAATATATGGCAACAAATATGCGGCAGTTTTTATTTTCTTTAAATCCCCACATCTATAGACAAATATGGATAAGTATTGGGCAAAACTATGGCAAAAACACGGATAAATATATGGAAAAATATGGATAAGTATAAGGCAAAAATATGAATAAATATAGGGCAAAAATATGAATAAATATATGCCAAAAATATGGATGAATATGTGGCAAAAATATGGATTAATATGTGGCAAAAATATGGATTAATATGTGACAAAAATATGGATTAATATATGGCAAAAAAATATGATTAATATGTGGCAAAAATAAGGATAAATAAATGGCAAAAATATGGATAAATATATGGCAAAATATAAATATATGATAAAATATAAACAAATATATGGCAAAATATAGATAAATATATGGCAAAAATATAGATTAATAAAAGACAAAAATATGAATACATATATGACAAAAATATAAATAAGTGGCAAAATATGGATAAATATATGGCAAAATTATAAATAAATATACGTCAAAATATGGAAAAATATATGTCAAAAATATGGATAAATATATGACATAAATATATGTCAAAAATATGGATAAATATATGGCAAAAATAAATATATGTCAAAAATATGGATAAATATATGGCAAAAATAAATATATGGCAAAAATATGGATGTATATATATATAACAAAAATATAAATAAATATATGGCAAAAATATGGATAAATATATGGCAAAAAATATAAATAAATATAAGGCAAAAATATGGATAAATACTATCCCAAAAATATGAATAAATATATGGCAAAATATGGATAAATATAGGGCAAAAATATGGATAAATATGACAAAATTTGAATAAATATATGGCAAAAATATGGATAAATATGACAAAATTTGAATAAATATATGGCAAAAATATGGATAAATATGACAAAATTTGAATAAATATATGGCAAAAATATGGATAAATATATGACAAAAAATTTATAAATATATGAATAAATATAGGGCAAAAATATGGATAATCATATGACAAAAAATTGATAAATATATGGCATAATTATAAAATAAATATATGGCAAATATATGGATTAATATATGACAAAAATATGAATAAAAATATGGCAAAATATGGATTAATATATGAAAAAAATATAAATAAATATATGATAAATATATGGCAAAAATATGGATAAATATATGCCAAAAATATTAATAAATATAATGCAAAATAAGGATAACTATATGGCAAAATATGGATAAATAAAGGGCAAAAATATGGATAAATATGACAAAATTTGAATAAATATATGGCAAAAATATGTATAAATAGGAAAAAAATTGAATAAATATATGGCAAAAGTATTGATAAATATGACAAAAAAATATAAATATATGGCAAAAATATGAATAAATATATGGCAAAAATATGGTTAAATACATGACAAAAAATGTATAAATATATGGCATAATTATAAAATAAATATATGGCAAAATATGCATAAATATATGGCAAATATATGGATACATATATGACAAAAACATGGATAAATATATGGCAAAATATGGATAAATATATGGCAAAAATATGGATAACTATATGGCAAAATATGGATAAATATATGGTAAAATATGGATTAATATATGGCAGTTGCATTTCTTTTCTCATTCAAGAAGCTGTTTAACTCACAACAGAGATTAAAAGACTATCCCTATCCTTAAGACTAATTCATGTTGACTGATGCGTCATTTGTTTTGGTAGCACTGTACAGTAAAGTTGTATTAGTTAATGATAGTAATGCATTTACTAACAAAACATGAACAAACACTGATCAATACATTGAATACAGCATTTGTTCATGTTAGTTAAGGTTAATGAAAATACAGTCATTCATTGTTAGTTAGTGTTAAGATTAGTGCATACACTAAATGTTAACAAGCATGAATTTGTATTTTAATAAGGCTTTATTAAATATTGAACTATGATTAATAAATGCTTTACAAGTATTGTTCATACTACTTAGTATATGTTAGTAAACACATTAACTAATGAAACCCTTTTGTAAAGTGTTTGTTTACATATTATTTATTACAACAAAACACCAAAGTGTCCTTCAGTTTAAGTCATATAACTTTCCATCTGTCCTGTTAAATTATTTTACAGCATTTAAAATCCAGTTCCGAGTTTAATTTATGCAAATTAGAGTGAATTATCATCTCTTTTTCTCTATAGATTTGAATATTGTTTTATTACCTGGCAGCTCCGGCTCGCACCAATTTGATTCTTGTTTGACTCTTCAGTTCTACAGCCACATCCAGAGCCTCAGAGTCTCCCCATCGAGCAGGAGCACCGTACACACTGCCGGCCTTCTCTTCTACAACACACACACACACACAGACACACACACAGACACACAGACAGACACACAGACACACAGACAGACACACAGACAGACACACAGACAGACACACAGACAGACACACACACAGACAGACACACACACACAGACAGACAGACACACACACACACACACACACACACACAGTTCATTAAAAAAAAAAAAAAGCTCAAAATTGCCTTTTTCAATTGCCAAGATTAAAAAACTGAGATGAAATCAGAACAGCCTTCTCTTCTACAACACAGACACGCACGCACACCCGCTCAATCAAATCAGATCGGCAAGGTCATGCAGGACTCAACAATAATGACTGCCCGATTGCCCTGGGACAGCATGAGACACGCTCGGGACTGTAGACAGGCCAGTGCTGCCTTGTCACTACAGTTTAATTTGCCTGCGACTATTCGTCAACTGCGTGCAAATACAGTCTAAGAATTAAGAAACTTTTAAGGGCGCACTTACACTAGGTACAGTTGCCTAGAACCGTGCCAACGTGCAATTGTCCCTCCCTCCCCTCTCCCTCAACGACCTGCACTCACAATGCATTTTGCCATCCAAACCTAAGCATGCCTGCATCATCAATGATGCGACTGTTCAGTTTTAGGGTGTACTCGCACTATGTACAGTTCCCTTGAACCAGGCCATAGCACGCTTGTCCCCCCTCCCATCTCCCCCGACGCCCCGCACTCACTGTACATTTGGGCCTGGGCGCGCTTACGTCATCGATGATGCGTTGTTCGGTAAGCGCTTTCACTCAACACAGTGGAGATTTCTCTAGTTATATCGTTTCAGTTGTTTGATATGCAGAGACACAGTCAGATATTTCGCCGAACAGATACGCCCCTTTTGGCGCTCATAAACAATCATAAAGCCCTCGTGCTTCAGGAATGAGGAGGTCTGCTGAAGGTGCAGCTGTCGTGCAGTGAGGAGTTTGCGTCTTAAATAAACTACGGCAGTTTGCGTTCACTGAACAGTAAGAATGATTAATAAATCCATATCAAACAGTCCCTTAAAGTCACGTCTTGCTTTCAGTTTCAGGCTCTGGACGTTTTGCACTCACACACAAGCGTACCGCGCCAAAGCCCAAGTGAACCGCGCTCAGGACCACCTCTTCCGACTGGGCCAGGGCCGGCCAAGTGATCCGTGCTTGAGCCTGATTCAGAGCACTCGCACTTCTCAAACGATCCGGGAAACGGGCCTGGGCACAGTTCGGATAGCATAGTGTGAGTACACTATAACAGGGAAAGAAACGCTCTCGCTCAGCACAGTGGCCATTGCTTTAGATATAGTCGTTTGACACGCAGTCAAATATTTCGCCGAACAGATCAGCCACTTTTGACGCTCATAAATCATCATAAAAGTCTACGTGCTGCAGGAATTAGGAGGTCTGCTGAAGGTGCAATTGAGGGGTTTGCGTCTTTAATAACCTACGACAGTTTGCTTTCATTGAACAGTAAGAATGATTAATAAATCCATATGAAACAGCCCCTTAAATGTCACGTCTCGTCTTCAGTTTTAAAAGTAAAATATTGTTTCAAAGTTTCAGTGTAAAATATTGATGGCAACAGAACTTGGGTTGCTCTACAATTATAATTTTTATTATGTCAAGACTAAAAGCAAAAAAAGTACACTCACTAAAAATACTGAAGTTTTTTTGCTCACTCAACAATTCAGACATTACAGTCTGGCTAGTTTCTGTCCTCTACTTATAAGCTAAAAAGCCAATAATGGTCTGACATTCCTGACCATTATCACCACTAAAGCCTAGAATTGGCCATCAGCATATTGTAAACCGATAGGTTCATATGTTCGTTTTCCGTTATCAAAGTAATAATTTGTTCCTTAATTTTAGTTTGTAACTTTTAAATAGTTTTAAATTCAAGATTGTATTAAATACATCAGTGTAAAACCTATAAATGGTGGAAAAACATACTCTGTAATATTAAAACCACCTGGGTCTCCACTTTTGCATGGCCTGTCTTTTTTGTTTTAACAAACTAATCTCTCAGGTTTTTCCAAACTTTTCCAAAAACTTTCCCACGGCTGTTGCAATTTATAGCCAAGAATTATTGGTCATCTGGTTATCCCTATGATCATGCATGGACGGATCATAAAGATGTTTGTACAGTCATACTTGTTTCAGACAAAATCTCTTCAAGGAGTTTCATATTCAACTCAAATGAAACGCGGCGCCGCACGAACTGTTCGCTCGAGTGTTCAAAACATTTTGTGCGCTCCGCTTGCTGAAATCATGCCGCACGCACCCAAAGCGAACCTCAAACAGCGATGATGTCACATTCGCCGCATGCACTGAGTTTAATAACAGAAAGCTGATTGGCTATTGCATGTTGGTCTCATTTGTAGTTGTAATACCGCAAATTACATTTGAACTAGTGAAATAAAGAACGACAGCACCACGAAAACTAAGCAACAACAACAAAAAAGAACTTAAATGAGCATTAGACGTAGCGTTACATGGACATTGGAAAAATAAGACCTAGAACAGCCAATTTTAGACTTTTTAAGGCCTTAAATTTCAATTTTAAAATGTTAGACTTTTTAATTACCCTGCAGAAACCCTGTTTTAAATATGTGGCTAAGAAATAGCGGTAACACTTTATAATAACTACACACTATGAATCATTTACTAAGCATTAGCGTCTATTGAATTCATTATCTGTTAAGCATTAACTCTACATTAAGAAACGTTAGTAAGCAGTTTATAACTGCAGCTACAAATGCTCTATTCTTGACTTATAAGCACCTATATAATGTGTTTAATAATTGTGTTTTCATACTTAGTTAATGATTTATTTTTCATTACTAAATTAAGTATTGTATTATTAACAAACCAGTTGTATTTAAGAGTAGTTGAGGGTTTTTAAGATAAAGATAATTCAGAATGAGTTAGTAAATGATTAATAAATTATTGAAATCCACGTTTATGTGTCTTATTATTCAGGCATATATTAATAGTTAACTAATATGTTAATAAATGCTTTATTAACTCAACTTCACGCAGTTTTGTGACCTAATCTAAAGTGAGGACTATTTATGCTTTATAAATCCCTTATAAATGATGATTAAAGGCTCAGAATCAAATGAACAATAATCTTTGCAATCTTTTCTAAAAAGTAAAATTACTGTAAAGTTTAAACGTTGCTGAATAACAGTAGTGCCAAAATACGACATAAAACTATATAAAACAACAACAATATAATAATAATGTAACAATATGATAAGATGCAATGTTTAAAGTCTGCAGTGATTTTATTTTAGATCAGCTTGCAAAGATTTATTTTTCATTTGAAGTACAGTTTCATTTGTGTATCTTTAAATGAATAGTTATTGCCATTTTTGCTGTTTAGAATTTAACTGAGCCTTTATTTGTCATTTATAAGAGATTTATAAAGCATAAATAGTCCTCACTTTAGATTAGGTCACAAAACTAGATGAAGTTGAGTTAATAAAGCATTTATTAACATACATAGTAACCATTAATATATGCCTGAATAATAAGAAATATAAACGTTGATTTCAATAGTTTATTAATCATTTACTAACTCATTATGAATGATCCTAAAAACCCTCAACTACTCCTAAATGCAAATGGGTTGTAATTAATGGGATACTTAATTTAGTGATGAAAAATAAATCATTAACCAAGTATGAAAATACAATTATAAAGCACATTTTTAAAAAGTTTGTAAGTCAAGAACAGAGAATTTGTATCTGCAGTTATAAACTGTTTACTTACGCTTGTTAATGTAGAGGTAATGCTTAACAGATAATGAATTCACTATTTGCTAATGCTTAATAAAGGATTTATAGTGTGTAGTTATTATAAAGTGTTACCAAAATAGCTGTTATCACTTTTTTTTTTTGCCAACGAAAATTTTGGCAGGGCAAGTAAAAATTTGAACGGCCAATAGAAAAAAATCCTTAGCCTTGAACCCTGGCATGCGATTTTAGTTAACGAGGTTTTGTTATATGCTTACTGTTTTGAAACATTTGTAAAAACCATTAATGGTTCTAAAAAAAATGTAATAAAAATAATTAATTTATTATTCTCCACTTGGGAACGATCTCTGTAGTACCATAAAATCCACATTAATGATCCCATCACCACTCACCAGCGGTCAGCAGAGGTGGAAGGCAGTCGTGCAGGAAGTCTTTGGCTTTCTGATCCACAGCAGCATCGACTGGAGCAAAACTGACCAGCTTCTTCATGAGGCCCTGAATGTGTGCCATGAATCGGTCTCGCCGCGGATCCTCCTGTTCATATAGTGTCAGTGTAGTCAGGAATGAGCAAACAGCGCGTGTTTGAATGAAGAACAAACACCGGTACCTTCTCAGAGTTCTGAACGCCCATATACTGCAGGTAATCGAGCGGCAGACCCTTCCTGAACTCCACATCCTCCTCCATCGCAACCTCCAGAGCGGCTGGCATCAACTGCAGATTAAATACATGTATAAATACACATATATATATGTATAATATATTATAGGCAAGGCAAGTTCGTTTATATAGCACATTACATAAACAATGGTAATTCGAAGCGAAGTATAAAAGAAACAAAAACAGATTTAAGTGTGTTAAAACAGGTTTTAAAAGAATGAAAGAAAGACATAACAGTGCCATCATTGTTAGATTTGTGTTTTTTCTTTTTGATTAAAGGTGCAGTATGCAAGTTTGACACCCAGTGGTTGAACTAGGTATTACATTCCTGCGTCAAAACACATGCAAGCGCAGGTTGCCAGATTGAGGACGAACAGGCGCATGTCTTACTACTGAACCTAAAGGCTGATTTAAACCATGTTCTAACTATAAGCAACGGCACGCGATAGAGGGGATATTTTTCATACTAAAAGGAGTTTTTGTCCTAACAAACACCTGGGGCCTCATGTACGAAGACTTGCGTGGAAATCTTACTAAAACATTGCGTACGCACAAAGCTGTAAATGTGCGTACGCAGAAAAAAATTCAGATGTATGAAACACTGCGTACGCCGAATCTCACGCATATTCTTTTGTACATCTGAATGAACGTGAAACTGAGCGCAACATGCACGAGCACAAAACCCCTCCCTGCCTCCTCCCCCGTATGAATATGCTAATGACTATGCTAATGGCAAAACCCAACGAAAAAGCACTGTCAAAAGCAAGCAAAAAGAGAAACTTTGAACAGAATGTGAATTGGACGTGCTGCTTTCGGAGGTAGACCGGAGGAAAACGGTGTTATTTGCAAGTTTGTTCTCCGGAATTAACAACAAAAGAAAAAAAAAGAGTGGGAGAGTTTAGCTGATGCGGTCAACACAGTTGGGTCTGAACATCGCACTGAGTGCATTAAAAAAAAAGAAATAGTGTGGTTTATATCTGTAAAATGTTGCAGGACGCTTAACAGTTTCAGTGGCGCTACTCGTTAGACGCATGTGATTATGAATTGATACGTTCGAGCATGTACTCGGCTTGAATCCAGCGTCTGATGAACTCTTTCTTGTTTTTTCCCCCGCTACATATCAGATTTTGCCAACTATTTATCACGAGAAAGACAAGTAGGAATCATCAATAAGTTCATATCAATAAGCATCATATTTTATTTACACATTTATTGAATAGAAATGTTTCTGATTCACGTATGCAAATTCATCTTCAGATAGTGTCTTTATAGCAATGTGCGTGCAGTAGATAGCTCAGATTACATTGGGAAAACAGGCGACTGCTGCAAATTGTGCTTTAATGTTTAGCTGGTCAAATGTATGGTATGGAAACCTTATATACCTGCTGAACCCGCTTACTTAGTTATCAAATAAAACTTGCAATGATTGTTTAAATTAGTCTGCGGGATCATTAATTTTGCTTGGATTTGACTGTTTATCGATTTCTAGCCATGTTTACATACTGTGCATATTATGGTGAGGTAGACTCTAAACTGAGGTGTTTAGCCAATCACACCTCAGAAAAGAAGGAGGGGGTTTATAAAAAAAAAACACAAAGCATTTTAGCTGGAAAAAATTGTTCATGGGTGAAGCAGTGGCGCAGTAGGTAGTGCTGTCGCCACACAGCAAGAAGGTCGCTGGTTTGAACCTCGGCTCAGTTGGCGTTTCTGTGTGGAGTTTGCATGTTCCCGTGGGATTCCTCCGGGTGCTCCGTTTTCTCCCACAGTCCAAAGACATGCGGTACAGGTGAATTGGGTAGGCTAAATTGTCCGTAGTGTATGAGTGTGTGTGTGTGGATGTTTCCCAGAGATGGGTTGTGGCTGGAAGGGCATCCGCTGCGTAAAAAACTTGCTGGATAAATTGCCGGTTCATTCTGCTGTGGCGACCCCGGATTAATAAAGGGACTAAGCCGACAAGAAAATGAATGAATGAAAATAGTTCATATTGTATGTGTGAATGCCTGTGTATGGATGTTTCCCAGTGATAGGTTGCAGCTGGAAGGGTTACCGCTGCATAAAACATATGCTGGATCAGTTGGCGACCCTAGATTAATAAAGGCACTAAGAAAATGAGAAAATGAATGAATGTATTGAGTGTGGCTGTGTGTACTTTGAGCATCAGGTCTCCCCAGCTGTTCCTCTGATAGGATGAGATGGTGATGTGCAGGGAATGAGCGTCAGGCAGACAGTCGCCCTGATGAACAAAACCACGAGGAAAATACAGCAGATCTCCAGCCTCCAGAACCACATCCATGACGGGCTCCCCGATCTCATCCTGACTGAAATTAGCTTCAGGGGACCACAAACACACATAGAGATTATTATTAAAGCAGATCTATTATGCAAAAATCACTTTTATACAGGGTTTAACCACAGTGTGTATGAGTATATCCAGCTTCTAATGGCGAAAAGTTCTTAAATCTATTTTTTATAATCATGCTCGATAAAAACAGTCTGCAGAAACACTTTGATTGACATTCTCCTTTTGTACGTGACATCAGAGGGGGAAAGCCCCGCCCACTAGTGACCATTTCTCTCTTATTAGCATAGACAGCCCTGAGTGAGAAGCAATATTCAGCGCATCGGCAGCTAACAGCCTGTCATACTGAGCAGAGCAAAGACAGTTGACGTTCTGCCACAAGATGGCGACAGAGACCGCATAATAAGTATTTATGCAGCGTTCACATCAGACACGGAAGAAGCATTAAGCGCAAGTGATTTACATGTTAAGTCAACGTAAAGACTGCCGAGATGTGCACGAATAAGATAGCATGTATGACGTGATTCGCATAAAGTGGCGCGAGTTGAGCATTTTGAGAGATTGACGCGTTTAACACGCGTATCGCACGAAATTAAGCAGACATTCGCACCGCATTAACCAGGATCAGGTGCTTGCTTTTGTAGGGGAGTGATAATGACATATCAAATGTTGTTGGTGTCCCAGGGGAAATCCTCCAGCCGACACCGGACAACAGTTCATCAATCTGGGCTCTGTTCAGTTGGAAGCACCGCTGAAAGCCTCCACCATCCAGGTATAATTTCTGGTTGATGAACTCAAAGAGCTGGGTGCACCTCTGAATGGATCTAGTGGACTCAAACAGTGTTGATTCATTTAGAGCCGTGTCTATCAGCCTTCCTAAAGCACATAAACAGCTACTCTCTCAATAAAATGTTAGCCATTTAGCAACAAAGCTACAGTCACCGGGCAGACAGAATCCATGACGTGAATTCGCATCTATTGTAAAGTGAATTTGACGTGCGAATGAAGCGGATTTGAAGAGCGAATGAAGCAAGTAAACTCAAAATGTTCACGCGTCTATTTATGCTGTTCAGCCTTATAATTTTAAAATATGAGTAAAATCAGCTGTTTTGTCATCACTTTAGACCAGGGGTGCTCAATCCTGTTCCTGGAGATCTACCTTCCTGCAGATTTCAGTTGCTACCCATATCAAACACACCTGCCTGTAATTATCACGTGGCGTTCAGGTCCTAATTAATTGGTTCAGGTGTGTTTGATATGGGTAGCAACTGAAATCTGCAGGAAGGTAGATCTCCAGGAACAGGATTGAGCACCCCTGCTTTAGACATTACGCTAGAGAATCATTCAAACACTAGCTCTAAAGTGACGTTTGTGAAGTAGCAACGCTTTCTGCTGTTCTGACCGTCAGCTGCAGATGTGAATGAATGGCTGAAGAAAGAAGTTCCTCATACAAAAGGATTTTTAGACTCTCTGTGTTTGATTTTCTTTTTTATTTACAGGATTATGTCGTCAAACTGTTGTATAAACGCAATATCACACTTGTAGCAGTGCGATATGGCTGTATAATCGTCACTGGTGGGACACTAAGGCACTGGGCCTGTGGCCTTGAGCCAAAGCACATCTCCGCATCTATTGTGAAGTGAATTTGATGTGCGACTGAAGCAGATTTGACCCGCAAATGAAGCGAGTAAACTCAAAATGTTCATACGTCTATTTGTGCGCGAATAGCCCGAATTATCTGCGCATACCGCGTCTGGTGTAAACACAGCATTCGAGGAAGAAAAACTAAGTGCAAGTTTCAAACTATAGCAGAACAAATCATTATAAAACAGGTGAGTGACATTCTAAGTCGATCTCTCTCTTTTGTATGTTGTAATGCTGTATTTATACTACAGTAATCTGGCAGTGGTAGCTTTGGCTTTTACAGGGTTAATTATTGTGATCTGATTGCAACAGAGAAATACTGGGAAATCTCTGTAGACTGATTGCATTTCATGCCGTTCAGCCTTATAATCTTAAAATGTGAGCAAAATCAGCTGTTTTGTCATCACTTTAGGCATTACGCTAGAGAATCATTCAAACACTAGCTCTAAAGTGACGTTAGTAAAGTAGCATTGGTTTCTGCTGTTCTGACACCAGCTGCAGATTTGAATGAATGGTGGAAGAAAGTAGTTCCTCACATAAAAGGTTTCTTAAGAGGGTGTTTGATTTATCTTTTTTTATACACATGATGATGCCGTTGAACTGTTGTATAAATGTAGTATCACACTCGTAGCAGTGCGATATTGCTGTATATAGCCACTGGTAAGGCACTAAGACACTCTGCCTGCAGCCTCAAGTCAACGCACGCTTCCCACCGGTGCTGATATACAGCCATATAGTGATATTGTGTTCATACTTGGTCATATATAACCAGACAATTAATCACCACAATCGCAATTATTTCTTACACAATAAATAGGAGAGTCCTAATCATGCATAATGATGCATCTTTTGCAGAAGCTGTGGATTAAAGGTAATAATACTGTAAATAATGATTAGTTTCTTGCACAGACCAAAAAGGTTTCACAATAGCAAATAAAACCGCTTCAATATTGCACATTTAATTCAAATTTTACTTCCTCATTCTATGCAGTTGCATTTGATTTATTACTGAGTAAACAAAATGTCCCAAGTGCATGACTATAAAGATTGTACTTACGACTGGACACCAGCGACAGCACTTCGTCTTCACAACTGAGGAATTAAAGAGGAGCTACAAGTTATTACTGCATCATTTCACATGGTAATGTTAATATTAAAGTTGATTTATAGTATTTTCAAATGTATGACAGCTAATGTTTAAAGGGCTTTTATTATGCATTTTTGGACATTACCTTTTACATTTAAATCAGTAGAAATAAAAGACTTAACATGGCTCAATGCATTAAGAAAGTGATACATAAAGAGTACAATTGGCAGTACAGCTGAAGCAGATGAACGCAGAATGTAAATGCAAAGCGCCACATCACAAGCATATGCTTCCGCAGAAATCTGGCGTTATGAACAAATATTTCAGGCATGAGATGAATCATATGATCATTAATTATGGTAATAATAATCTGATTATTTCTGATTACTGATGATTTTTGCATGCCCTGCTAAATACTCCATTGCTGTAAATCTCAAATTCTTTGTATAAAGATGCTGACGTGAAAAGGTAACTCCTTGATGGAACTCCAATGTTTTTTTTTCTTCATTTCATTTTTCACAATGTAATTTTCAAGTGCTGATTTATAGTTCTGCATAAAGTACACGTGTATGGTCCGACGCAGCTTTCCCTCACCATGGTTGATGTGACTACATGTCACAGCGATGCGTAGCACAAACTCTGTGATTTGTCGGCTTGGTACTGGTGACGAGCGTGGGCTATTGCCCCCCTAAAACAGGCCTAGCATCGCCCATGCTCAACGCAGAAGTATAAATCAGCCTTAAGAGTTAACCAATTTGTTTTATTTTCTCTATCCACCGTAATTTGTCGCATTTTGTAGTGGAAATTATAAATAATACAATTATCTTGTTCATTATTTTTTCATTTGTTAGATTTCTCCATTTAAAACTCTATGGAATACTCAAAAGATGGCAGCACAGTGGCTCAGCGGTTAGCACTGTCGCCTCACAGCAAGAAGGTCACTGGTTCGAGTCCCAGCTGTGTCAGTTGGCATATCTGTTTGGAGTTTGCATGTTCTCTCTGTGTTGGCGTGGGTTTCCTCTGAGTGCTCCAGTTTCCCACACAGTCCAAACACATGCGCTATAGGGGAATTGAATAAACTAAAATATACTCTAATATAAGAGTGTGTGTGTGTCTGTGTGTGTGAGAGAATAAGTGTGTATGGGTTTTTCCCAGTACTGGGTTGCAGCTGGAAGGGCATCCACTGTGTAAAACATCTGCTGGATAAGTTGGCGGTTTCTTCCACTGTGGTGACTCCTGAAAAATAAAGGGATAAGTACAATCTGACACATAACCTCTCTCTCACCGTGGGTTGTAAACTCTCCAGTGCTTTCTGCCCTCTAGTTGCACAACAAACGCCTCTATATCATCAAAATGAGGGGCAAAGCCCTGCGTCCCTGGTGGCGTCAGATACCTGAAAAACGTAAAAGGGTAAACAACAACAACAAAATACTGTGATTCCAAGAATAGAGTGATGAATAGAGCTGTGGCAAAAAAAATTTGAAAAATTGATTCAGACTTTCAAAATGCTTCTCTATTCTCTCTTGAATCGATGCTGAGCTTAGCTTTTAACAGATGGCGCTCTAAGCTAGTTTTTAACAGCAGATGGTGCTCTAGACTAGTTTTTAAACAGCGGATGGTGCTCTAGGCTAGTTTTTAACAACAGATGGCGCTTTAGGCTAGTTTTTAACAACAGATGGCGCTTTAGGCTAGTTTTTAACAACAGATGGCGCTTTAGGCTAGTTTATAACAGCAGATGGTCTTCTAGACTAGTTTTTACTGCAGATGGCGTTCTAGGCTAGTTTTGACAACAGATGGCGCTCTAGGCTAGTTTTTAACAGCAGATGGCGCTCTAGGCTAGTTTTTTTTACAGCAAATGGCGCTCTTGGCTAGTTTTTAACAGCAGATGGCGCTCTACACTAGTTTTTAACAGATGGCGCTCTAGGCTAGTTTTTAACAGCAGATGGTGCTCTAGGCTAGTTTTTAACAGCAGATGGCCCTCTAGACTAGTTTTAACAGCAGATGGCGCTTTAAGCTAGTTTTTAACAGCAGATGATGCTCAAGGCTAGTTTTTAACAGCGGATGGTGCTCTAGGCTAGTTTTTAACAGCAGATGGCACTCTAGGCTAGTTTTTAACAGCAGATGGTGCTCTAGACTAGTTTTTAAACAGCGGATGGCGCTCTAGGCTAGTTTTTAAAAGCAGATGGCCCTCTAGGCTAGTTTTTAACAGCTGATGGCGCTCTAGGCTAGTTTTTAACAGCAGATGGCGCTCTAGGCTAGTTTTTAACAGCAGATGGTGCTCTATACTAGTTTTTAACAGATGGCGCTCTAGGTTAATTTTTAACAGCAGATGGTGCTCTAGGCTAGTTTTTAACAACAGATGGTGCTCTAGGCTAGTTTTTAACAGCGGATGGCGCTCTAGGCTAGTTTTTAACAGCGGATGGCGCTCTAGGCTAGTTTTTAACAGCGAATGGCGCTCTAGGCTAGTTTTTAACAGCAGATGGCGCTATACACTAGTTTTTAACAAATGGAGCTCTAGGTTAGTTTTTAACAGCAGATGGTGCTCTAGGCTAGTTTTTAAAAGCAGATGGCCCTCTAGACTAGTTTTTAACAACAGATGGTGCTCTAGGCTAGTTTTTAACAACAGATGGCCCTCTAGACTAGTTTTTAACAGCAGATGGCGCTTTAAGCTAGTTTTTAACAGCAGATGATGCTTTAGGCTAGTTTTTAACAACGGATGGTGCTCTAGGCTAGTTTTTAACAGCAGATGGCGCTCTAGGCTAGTTTTTAACAGCAGATGGTGCTCTAGACTAGTTTTTAAAAGCAGATGGCCCTCTAGACTAGTTTTTAACAACAGATGGTGCTCTAGGCTAGTTTTTAACAGCGGATGGCGCTCTAGGCTAGTTTTTAACAGCCGATGGCGCTCTAGGCTAGTTTTTAACAGCCGATGGCGCTCTAGGCTAGTTTTTAACAGCAGATGATGCTCAAGGCTAGTTTTTAACAGCGGATGGTGCTCTAGGCTAGTTTTTAACAGCAGATGGCACTCTAGGCTAGTTTTTAACAGCAGATGGTGCTCTAGACTAGTTTTTAAACAGCGGATGGCGCTCTAGGCTAGTTTTTAAAAGCAGATGGCCCTCTAGGCTAGTTTTTAACAGCTGATGGCGCTCTAGGCTAGTTTTTAACAGCAGATGGCGCTCTAGGCTAGTTTTTAACAGCAGATGGTGCTCTATACTAGTTTTTAACAGATGGCGCTCTAGGTTAATTTTTAACAGCAGATGGTGCTCTAGGCCAGGGTATCTGCACATTTTTTAACAGAAAATTTAAGACCTTTTAAGACCTTTTTAAGTCCTCTAAAATGAAAATTTAAGACTTTACCTAAAAAAAAAAAACAGGAAAATGTTCAGTGTGAACACAGAATGATGTGGTGAAGTATGGCGGCAAATCAATGGCAATATAAATCGAGCGCAGCGGTGATGTTTGCGCGCGAGGAGAAGTGAACCGTGAGCAGATTACTTGGTTGACTTGGTTTACTTGTTATCTCTAACGCTATTGGCTACTGTGCCTTTCCGGAAGTTAGCCGGGATTGGACGCAAGTTAAAAGATCATGCCGTTAAATATATATACAATTTGCAAGTCATAATCATAAGAAACTTTCTGAGAACTTTATGAACTTTATGAGGATTCAATCTCGAGAAACAGTCAAATAATATCCAAAATAATGACTTGCATTCTTGTAACATGACTTTCTGAACCCATTTGATTTGTCCGTGCAGCACTTGTCTGGTTTGTTGTATTTTACTTCATAATTAACCACAACAGCAGTGCTCATTATTACACTTGGGGATGATCTTTCTAGGAAATATTGTCTTCAGAAGAGTTTATTTGCGTTTTAGATCTTTATAGATAATTATAATTAATTTATCTTTATAGATAATTGTTAACATTGTTTGTAATATAGATCAGTGTAAAATATATATATCTATATATATTATATATATTTTTCAATCTCATTTTTAGTTAATGATTGAATAACCTGCATATAAAGACTTCAATCAAAAATGATTAGCCCAATTAAACATAAAAAATACAGTGACAGACATTCAGATGGGTTTTTATCGCCACCTATTGAGCAACAATTTAATTTCTACAATCTTCGTTTGGCTTTACTCACTATCCATTACATCATTCCACTTCAGAGGCATACAAATACTACTTTCTATACGACAGGCCCACATCTTAAAGGTCACATATGCAGTTGAAGTCAAAATTAGTAGCCCACTTTTTTCTTGTTTTATTTCGGCAAGAATAAAAGCTGTTTTAATTTTTTAAAACCCATTTTAAGGTCCATATTATTACCCTCTTTAACCTTTTTTTTTTTTTCGAAAGTCTACAGAACAAACCATCGTTATACAATAACTTGCCCAATTACCCTGCCTAGTTAACCTAGTTAAGCCTTTAAATGTCACTTTAAGCTGTATAGAAGTGTCTTGAAGAATATCTAGTCTAATATTATTTACTGTCATCATGGCAAAGATAAAATAAATCAGTTATTAGAAATGAGTTATTAAAACTATAATGTTTAGAAATGTGTTGAAAAAAATCTTCTCTCCGTTAAATAAAAATTTGGATAAAAATAAACAGGGGGCTATTAATTCAGGCGGGCTTATAATTCTGACTTTAACTGTATAGTGGAATAACAGACTAATGGCAATATATTTACTATAAACCTTTGTACTTTATGCACTGCATGCATGTATAGCCTATTTTGTATACTATTGTCCATCCAATTTATTCTGACTTGTTCTTCACAGAAAATGAGTCAAGGACAATGAATCTTAGAAAAAAAAAAGATTTTTGTAAATTTGAACACGTTTAGTTTGAGTTCAGTTTAAATGTAGGTGCTAAACTTCATCAAATGGTTCAAAACACATTTAAAGTCTGAATTATTCGTCCTGATTTAATAGCCCATGTATATTTTCCCCAATTTCTGTTTAATGGAGAGATCTTTTGCCACATGGTATAACTCTCTCTTTCTCTCCCAAGTAATAAAGTTTGTTACAGAAATATATCTCATTATTTTGATGTCATTATATGGCATTATTATGAGATTAATTATTACAAAAAATATCTCATTATTGAAAGTAAGTCTCCACCTATTATTACTGAGAAAGTAAGTCTATGTTTCACACTGTGACATTATGATAAGATTTCCTATATAATTTTATTTAACGGGGAAACTAGCTTACCTGCGTCCAATCCCGGCTAACTTCTGGAAAGGTAGAGTAGCCAATAGCGTTAGAGATAACAAGAAAACCAAGTCCCGCCCTAGGACTCACAAAAATCTAAACTGTTTCGCGCGAGCAGAGAGAAGAACCAGCGAGCGAGCGGAGAGAACTGATCGCGCGCGCGCTGTAGGCATGACCTCGCTCGCGAGAGCGTACATCGTGCGCACAGATGATAATGTGCACGCGCGGGACTTGTTTTCTCGCGCTGGATCAGTTGACCGCACGCGTGAAGATCCCCTGTGCGCTCGCGAGCTGTAATTTTCTCGCGTGTAGACCTGTAATCTGCTCACGGTTCACTTCTCCTCACGCGCAAACATCACCGCTGCGCTCGATTTATATTGGCATTGATTTGCCGCCATAAGACGAGTCGGACATGATATTTAAGATCCCACATGAAATTTAAGACCTCCTTATGGAAAATTACAGAATTTAAGACATTTTCAGACCTTAAAAATCGAAAATTTTATTTAAGACATTTTAAGACTTTTTAAGGACCCGCGGGGACCCTGTAGGCTAGTTTTTAACAACAGATGGTGCTCTAGGCTAGTTTTTAACAGCGGATGGCGCTCTAGGCTAGTTTTTAACAGCGGATGGCGCTCTAGGCTAGTTTTTAACAGCGGATGGCGCTCTAGGCTAGTTTTTAACAGCGAATGGCGCTCTAGGCTAGTTTTTAACAGCAGATGGCGCTATACACTAGTTTTTAACAAATGGAGCTCTAGGTTAGTTTTTAACAGCAGATGGTGCTCTAGGCTAGTTTTTAAAAGCAGATGGCCCTCTAGACTAGTTTTTAACAACAGATGGTGCTCTAGGCTAGTTTTTAACAACAGATGGCCCTCTAGACTAGTTTTTAACAGCAGATGGCGCTTTAAGCTAGTTTTTAACAGCAGATGATGCTTTAGGCTAGTTTTTAACAACGGATGGTGCTCTAGGCTAGTTTTTAACAGCAGATGGCGCTCTAGGCTAGTTTTTAACAGCAGATGGTGCTCTAGACTAGTTTTTAAAAGCAGATGGCCCTCTAGACTAGTTTTTAACAACAGATGGTGCTCTAGGCTAGTTTTTAACAGCGGATGGCGCTCTAGGCTAGTTTTTAACAGCCGATGGCGCTCTAGGCTAGTTTTTAACAGCCGATGGCGCTCTAGGCTAGTTTTTAACAGCGGATGGCGCTCTAGGCTGGTTTTTAACAGCGGATGGTGCTATAGGCTAGTTTTTAACAGCATATGGCGCTCTAGGCTAGTTTTTAACAGCAGATGGCGCTCTACGCTAGTTTTTAACAGATGGCGCTCTGCACTAGTTTTTAACAGATGGCGCTCTAGGTTAGTTTTTAACAGCAGATGGCCCTCTAGACTAGTTTTTAACAGCAGATGGCGCTTTAAGCTAGTTTTTAACAGCAGATGATGCTCTAGGCTAGTTTTTAACAACGGATGGTGCTCTAGGCTAGTTTTTAACAGCAGATGGCGCTCTAGGCTAGTTTTTAACAGCAGATGGTGCTCTAGACTAGTTTTTAAAAGCAGATGGCCCTCTAGACTAGTTTTTAACAACAGATGGTGCTCTAGGCTAGTTTTTAACAGTGGATGTCGCTCTAGGCTAGTTTTTAACAGCGGATGGCGCTCTAGGCTGGTTTTTAACAGCGGATGGTGCTATAGGCTAGTTTTTAACAGCATATGGCGCTCTAGGCTAGTTTTTAACAGCAGATGGTGCTCTACGCTAGTTTTTAACAGATGGCGCTCTAGGCTAGTTTTTAACAGCAGATGGCGCACTAGGCTAGTTTTTAACAGCAGATGGCGCACTAGGCTAGTTTTTAACAGCAGATGGCGCTCTAGACTAGGTTTTAACCGCAGATGGCGCTCTAGGCTAGTATTTAACAGCAGATGGTGCTCTGGGCTGTTTTTTAACAGCAGATGGTGCTCTATGCTAGTTTTTAACAGCAGATGACGCTTTAGGCTGTTTATTAAAGAGCGGACTGTGCTCTAGTCTATTTTTTTTAGGAGCAGATGATGCTCTAGGCTAGTTTTGAAACACTAGACAGTGCTCTAGATTAGTTTTTAAAAATCAGGCGGCACTCTAGGCTAGATTATAAGAGCAGACAGGGCTCTGGCCTAGTTTATAGAAGCAGATGGTGCTCTAGGCTAGTTCTTAGTAGCAGATAGCACTTTAAGCTAGATTATAACAGAGTATGATGCTCTAGGCTAGTTTTTAACAGCAGACGGCGTTCTATGCTAGTTTTTTAACACCAGATGGTGCTCTAAGCTAGTTTTTAACACCAGACAGCGCGCTCTAGGCTAGTCTTTAAGAATCACACTGCGCTCTATGCTAGTTTTTAGCAGCAGATGGCACTCTAGGCTACATTTCAGGAACAAAAGGTGCTCTAGGCTAGTTTTTAACAGCAAACAGCTTTCTAGGCTAGTTTTTAAAGAGCAGATTGCACTTTATTGCTTTACAAACCATCCATACTTAGCTTGCTTCCAATTTTTTACAAACATTATTTAAAACAAAAATAATCCTTTAAAAAGTTTGGAAAGGTTTAAGCAAATTACAAGAATGTTGACATTGGACTGTGTTTACGTTAATCTTGTGACAAAAAACCCAACTTGACAAAACTCAAACTAGCCTATAACTCTAGCCTAACTCTAGTATAAACTTCCCTACTAGCCCACTATCTGGTGTTTAAAACTATGCCCATAATAGATTCAAGAAAGCAAAGCGATGCATTTTGAAAATCTCTTGATGCGAAATAATTTCTCAAACAAGTTTATCATTAAACAATCTTAATTAATCTTCATCATACACGTTTGCTCCTGCCATGCTGCCAAACTTCTCCTGAAGAACAGAGAGCACCTGCCAAACCGTGGAGGAAAACGCTTGAGGATTGAGCATTCTGATAGAGCAACCACTCTGAAAACACAGACATAGAACAACAACATCTGTGAGCAAACTTCACACTCTCACAGTGACATCGAGGCTTTACAGAAGCGTGACTGTAATGAGAGCGCTTCAAATTTTAAAATGTTTGCACAACAGCATATTAACACCTTTACACATGTTGCATGACAGGGTGTATATATATATATATATATATATATATATATATATATATATATATATATATATATATATATATATATATATATATATAGGAATCAGAGAATGAAATTTTATCATTTTAAGACCCTTTCCATACATTTTAAGACCCTATCGGTAACATTGTTGATATTTTAGCTGACAGTATATTTAAGAAAGCAAGATTAAAGACTGTGTGATAACTCAATGCAATATAATTCAAAGTTGGAATGAAGCACAAGAAAATGATTTACCCCTATCGCCCCAAGCCTAATATTAATTCCAGTAATCATACAGTACACAATTTTCTTTGTTCAGGGAGTATCAATATTTTTGTACCTCATAAAAATCCCATACGGTGTACGGTAACGCTCGTCCTGGAGGATTGTGTGTCTCTCTTTTCCCATTAGTGTAGCTGGTCACATCCAGATTCACTCCATACTGAACATCATCCTTTACACAACACATTATATTATATTACATCTTCCAGCAACACTAAAGATACCAATCCCCTCTAGGTCTGTCACAATAACCAATAAATAGACTTATCGCACAACACATGGACATGAGCTCAATCGTTTTTGGTGATGCAATATATATCGCCCAAACATAAAAAAAAAACAATTCTAGCAACACTTTAGTTGATTGTGCAACATCTCCATCTCTATTGGAGGTGTCAGTGTGAAGTATACTTAAAAACACTGTAGGATTTACTATAAATTACTATAGTATATTTTTACGTGGGATTCTGGTAACTGAAAATAGATCTGGTAGCAGATATCGCAGCCTCTGTTACTCTTCACCTTGCACTTTTTTGTTAATATTTATTATTATTTATTTAGGATAAGCGTTTTCACATTTTGATTCCAATGCCTGATTATTAAACTGTTAAAATGACTATAATTAAGTTTGATATTCTTAAGAATAAAATATGCGTTCTTTGGAAGAGTTAACTTGCATTGTGATGATATTATATTGTCATTCTGGCATTATATTCACCTTATTCTCAGCTGACAAGCGGGCGCTGCGATTTGAATCTTTTTGTCTCGCGACTTCCGGTCACATTCACTTCCATTCATTTTTTGACGTTAACAACTGCTCGTTACGCTGCTTGATGTTGCAATTTAATATTTTCTTATTATATTATGCTACTTAGTCTGTGTAGTCATGCAAACATTTGTTTGTAGAGCAAGTAGTTTGGCCATTTTCTGCCGTTTATTATTCCTAGTCATTTCTCCCATAGGCGACTGAATCGGAAGTACTAAGACAATCGCAAAAACAGGCGCACTTCCGCATTTTAGAATAAGGTCAATAGTGGCATAAAGTAGCCTTAAATTGACAATATTATTGTTTATTGCGATATTTTTTATGCAATATATCGTACAACAAAAATAAATATAGTGACAGGCCTAATCCCCTCTAAAAAAACTAAAATACTTACGTTTCTTAATATCCGGTCAAATTCAGCAGTCGAAAAGAGTCCTTTATAATAATCTGCATTCTGTCGTTGGATCAAAATTGGCTTCTTCTCCCAGTTATCTCTATAATGTGGACAGAACAAGATGTCAAATATACATTCATTCATTTTCTTTTCGGCTAAGTCCCTTTATTAATCAGGGGTCGCTACAGCGGAATGAACCACCAACTTATCCAGCATTTTTTTTACGCAGCGGATGCCCTTCCAGCTGCAACCCATCTCTGGGAACATCCACATACACTCATTCACACACACACTACGGACAATTTTTGCCTACCCAATTCACGTGTACTGCATGTGTTTGGACTGTGGGGGAAACCGGAGCACCCAGAGGAAACCCACGCAAACGCAGGGAGAACATGCAAACTGCACACAGAAACGCCAACTGGCCCAGCTGAGGCTCGAACCAGCAACCTTCTTGCTGTGAGGTGACAGCACTCTGCATTTATTTTATTACTATTATTATATTTTATTATTATTTTCATTTATTTATTATCATTTTTTTGTATTTATTTATATATATATATCTTTTTATTATTATTTCTATAAGGCTTGTTTGATATGTTTACAAAATGTAAAAATGTTAAATAAATCATAAATAAAAAATGAGTTTTCTGCATTGTTGCGAGAAATATTATGTACTGTCATCATGGCAAAGATTACATAAATCAGTTATTAGAAATTAATAGTGGTATAACAGATCGGAAATCTCACGGTTCGGATCACATTATGGTTTTTTAGTCACAGATCGAAGCATAATTTACTTTCAATTTATTACAGAAACAGTATTGCAAGACACTTTTGGTTATAGCAAACAGAACTGTGAACCTGTAATTTTATTAAAAATAAAATGAAGTAATAATCAGCTGAATAAAAACGAAACAATATACTGAATACAATGTAACAGTACTGTGAAAAAGTCACTGTTACTCCTGCTGCTGATAACGCTTAATCTAGAAATCTAACATTTTCATTTGTACAAGCCATATTTCTTTTTAGTCTCATTTTCGATAAATGATTCTGAGCTCTATCATACACCCCACGCAATAAGGCAAACGACGTGTTTGTACCGACTTGTTGCTACTTTCAGACCATCGCAAGCTTAATTTTCCCATTTTTCCACTACGTTGTTTAAATAGTAAATCCATTTACTCCACTTTGTGGACTCATGGGTGGACCAGTCTAGAATGGAGGTGTGTTAAGGCACATTGTTGGAGCGTTGCTCTATTGAGGAACTAAAATAGACCTATTTTTTACCTAAGGTCTGAAGTCCAGCGCGTTAGTTGTGCGCCTGGCCTAAACATTGCTTAAAACACACAGAATGAACAGCAAGACGGCAATATCTTTACAAATGAAAATTAAAAGGATTCAAATTTTACAAAAATTATTGTTTTCTACATAAATATAAAAACCACCGCCTCCATGCCTTCTTTATCTCGGGGGGGCTTTTTTCAGTTTATTCACGACAACTTGCAGTTGTGTAATGTTATTATTATTAGCAGTGTTATTTATAACATTTATATTATATTTGTTTTATTAAAAACAAGCTTAGATTTGCGCACCTGTCAGGTTTTGGACCATATCGGGCATGTATAACAGGGCATGTGTTTGGATATAACTTTCATGACCACACTTCATTATTACTGTTCATTTATTCATTTGCTGGAAATTAGAACTGAACTTAGAAATAAATTTGAAACAAATCGTTGCGCTTAACAAATTAAAATTAACTATGTAGGCTAATGGATGTCTGTGCCTACAACGCATTTACAACGATTTCCTCATCCACGAAAAAGAGAAAGAAAAAAGTGAAAGCAAAGGCCGCTTGGAGGAGGCTCGTTCTTTATCCTCGCGCTGCAGATGCTCTGTTTAAATGTTTTCTCGCTAATGTTGTTTTTCCACTTAAAAAGTCAGCCATGTAAATAGCAAATGAACCATAGCATAACACAACTGACTCTTAAAGGGAATGGGAGATGAGACTCTGATTGGTTTATTCTCAAAACACACCCAGAACTCATTAAGAGAATAAGCTCAACCCAGATAGACCATGCGCCACAGCGCAGAGCGGATTTTTCCATCCCTAAAATAGCAAAAGTTGATTCGGACACGCCCTTAATGCTTTTGCTTGAGCTTTAGACTTTGCACCTAGATAGTTAGAACCCATAGTTATTTTTAATGGCTGGTTGTCGCCACCTGTTAAATAATAATTGCTGCCTATCATTTTCATTTTTGAGCGTCAAGTTAAATATGACAGTGATTTTAATCTTTACCATGAACATCAGTGGTTTTATCTAAATGGTATACTGTTATCCCAGTACTTCTGTGTCAGGGTTCTGCCACTCTGATCTTGTAAATTCTTGTTTTGGTGGCAGATCTCGGATACTACTCGTGTCTGGTCCTGTTTCTGTCTCTGTGTGCGCGCGCGCCGTCGTGGGTGTACGCAGAGTGTGCGCGCTCCTGCTTGACGCGGCCGCGTGCGCGCTCTGCGTCCCTCAGACGCGTGCGCTCTTGTACTCGTGTTTGTGTTTTCGTCTGTCAGCAGCATGGTGTTTCATTCCCAGCGTCTCAGTCTTGTCTGTTTCGGTTTTGGTCGGCGCTGGGATGAAGCATGCATGCTGCATATGTGAGCGCATGGTTAGTGCTTTCATTCATCGTGTGCTCGTGTCTTGCGTCTTCTGTCAAAGCACGTGGTTCGGTGTTTACATTGTGGTCACGTGCTTTTGTCGTGTGCTTCAGTGTTGTGTTATGTGAGCGCATGGCTTGTATTGTCTCTCTGTGTCATGCGCTCTCCCGTCTATTGTCTAGTCCCACCCTCCTTGTTAACCCATTATTAGTTAATTGTGTTCACCCATGTCAATTTACTTTTTGCTTTATAATCCCCCTCATTTTTTCAGTCCTTTGTCAGTTCGTCGTCGATATTCCCTCTGTGTTCCTGTTCCAGTCATGTCTTGCCAGCCCAGCCCAGCCAAGTTTGTCTGTTTTTGATTCATGTTTTCCCCCTCGGGGTAGTTTATTTTGCCTTTTTGTTTTATTTGTACTTTATTATTAATAAAACCCAATTATTGTTTGCACTTGAGTCCTCGCTCCTTTTCCCCTCACCGAACCGTGACATTCTGTGTTATTTGACTGTTCGTAACTTCATAACTAACTCAAAACACTAAAGACTGAATCTCTTTCTTGATTTTTTGCATTTCAAAGGATTAATAAACTTATGCAAATCACTGTCATTTATAATTTATGTTGCATGGGTGTTGAGATCCTGATCTTTTAGTGAATAATCGTGCAGCTTACACTGAATGCATTAATGCAGGCTAAACAAGTAGTGACAGAAAACACCTTTAATGAAACCCACCACAACCCAAATAAACCACTACGACTTCTTCTGTCATTATTATATTTTGCAGGAAAGCCTAAATGCTTTCATACATGTGATTTGAATGACACGAGAGGCAATCTCTCTGCAATTGTTACAAATTTAGGATTTATTTACAAGTAAAAAAAATGTGTTTGCATAATCCTTGGGTCACATGTGTTCGGAACCATGGGTTGTGATCTGTAAGAATCACGGTTCAACTCGTTACACCCCTAGAAACTAGTTATTAAAATTATTATCTTTAGAAATTAAAAAAAATAAAATAAAGAAATCTTTCGTTAAACAAAAATAAAAAAAAATGCTTCAATTGCTACAATTAATGAATTGATAATTTGATTCATCATTTCTAACCGTAAGGGTAAACCCTAAAATGACAAACAAAAATTCCCTGATATTTCATTGCTTGAACAAAACAAACAAAATCCCATGACTTTCAGTGTCTGAAATTGCCCTTTTAAAATCCCATGACATTCCAGAAAACTCCATGAGCTGTGGGATAAAAGTATTTGTGTGTTTTCTGTCTCGAACTGTTACCTGAAGAAGCTTTTGTCCTGCACTGGGTGAATGAGCCACTGGAAGAGTCTGTTGGCTCGATCTCTGCTGTTGTTGACCTTCGCCAGATCCGTCAGGAGAATATCGAGAGCTACATTATCAAACCTTTTACCATTCATCTCCCTACAGTCGCTCTCCTGGAGAAACAGAACATCATGAGCTTCAAATCTCCACTGATTCTCTTATCAAGTCAAGGTGAGCTTTAATGCTTTTCTACTAGTCATGAGCCGATATACAGTGCTCAACATAAATGAGTACAACTAGGGCTGTACAATTTTGCAAAAAACTTATATTGTGATTTTTTTTTCTTCTTCTGTGATTTAAATTGCAGTATTTCACCAAATAACTTGAATAACTCGATTTGAAAATCACATACTTTTATATGCTTTGGGATGATTTTATAAAGTGCATATGCAAAAATTATAATTAACAAATTACAGTGGTGTAAAGTAACTAGTAATTACATATACAAATTATACATTATACATATACAAACAGGGCCGGAGCAAGGTGACCTGCCGCTCCAGGCAGTAGACGATCACGCCGCCCTCAACTCGATATTGAAAACGAAAGTGTCCGGTTGTCAAAATGAAGAACCGGGGGGTTGGGGGGTGAGGGAGGACCTCTATTCTGCCGCCCTATGCGCGGATGTGACTGAGGACGCGCGGCTGGTAAGGGATGTGTCACGGACATAACTGAAGACGTGGCTAGTAAGGGAGGTGTCGCGGACGCTGCCCTCTCTATCATGCAGCCCTAGGCAACTGCCTAGGTCGCCTCTATGAATGCGCCGGCCCTGTATACAAATACTCAAATTATTGTAATTAAGGGGTTTTCTTAGGAATTGTCCCTTGAGTACATTTTTAGTGCTGCATCGGTACTTCTACTTCACTACCTTACTTCAACCTGCAGTCACAATTTTATTTTTAATTATTTAATAAATTAATATTTAAGCATTTTAAATTATTTTACATTTGATTCAGGTTACTGTAAATTAAATATGATAGACTTGCTTTGTTTACTAAATAAGTGGCTCTAACTGGACCTGCATTGTAAACATTACATAAAAGTTGCAAATGCATTATTATTTATTCCATAAAAAAGTTTTTATTTATAATAATAATAATCCTAAAATAATTCCAAATAACACAGAATTTTTACAAAATTCTCCTCAGAAATAGCAAAAAATGTCTGCTGATTCTGTCTGGGCCAACTAATTACACATAAATACACTGTAAAAAATATCTGTAAATAAGCAGTTTTTGTACAGTATTTGTGATTTATCCCCCCCCCCCCCCCCATTTATTTATGCTTTTGAATTGCATTATGAGAGCTTGATCTTTCTTCCAGCAACTTTTATCCTTGAAAAGTTGTAAAAACTGACTTTTACTAACATTTTTAATAGTTTAAAGAGCTTTACTGTCTGGATTGGTGTTGTATATTACGCTACAAAAACCTTCTAATAAACTGCCAGTACATTTTCTGCTATTTTACAGACTTATTTCTCTCTCTATGTATATGATTTCTTATGTTATATTATTTCAAATTACTAAAATGTCAATAAAAGTCACTTGATTAAACCGTAGAGTTGAATTTTCAACAACAGAAGTCAACAGAGCAGAGATCAACATCCCATAATGCAATTCACAACCGATGAACAGAAAACATCACAAAATACGTTAACTAATAATTAACAGATATACAGAACATAAACTTACTAAAAAATAAATATTATAAACCTACTACACATCTGGGAAGTATCTAAATGTACATAATATGCTGTATCTGTCAGCACACAGTTAGACACTTACTCCTTCATGTTTCTCCTTTTCACTGCTGCTGGATCTCACGCTGGATTTAAGAGGTTTCGTCCTTTTCTTTTTAGTTGCTTTCTTGCTTGGTCTGACACCGTTCTCCTTCCTTTTGACTTTCTTTGCCGGTGGTGCTTTATCCTGCAAGGCAGAAGTAATTCAAGTAAATTTACAACCAAATGGAAATACAGTTTGGATTTCCCAAATGTGATTATCTTTGTGTGATATATATATATATATATATATATATATATATATATATATATATATATATATATATATATATATATATATACACGCACACACACAATAAATATAGACAGTACACACACACGTCAAAACAAACTTTTTATTTTGAATGCAATTAATCTTTAACCACTAATTATTATTATTTTACTCAATAATATTGTACTGTGGTGGTTAATAAATTATTTATTCATTTAAATACATACTTCAGGCAAATATCCTACAATGCTTGTATGTTGTTTTGGATAATGTGTGTCATTTAGTTTCTGATTTATTTTCCCTCACTGTTTTTCCTCAAAGCTGTTCCACTTATTTTAGTTAGTTTAAAAGTCTCTGCTAAAATATATAAAAATTATTTTAAGAGCCCGTGTATTTAGTGGTTAACATATAAATGTTCAATTACAATAAAATAATACTCAAATAACATTTATTGGTAGTTCAGTAACATTTTTGCATTCCAGATAGTGTATTTATTAATGTACCCTACTAACCTGTACAGGGTTTCACACGTTTACTCTAAAATTAAGGTATGTTCTCCCCAAACAAGCTTCAATCATGCAAATGTCTTATGCGCAATCTTTTTACCTGAGCTTGTGGTGTTTTTCCTCCTGAGAGTGACTGATATATGGACAATGCGGACATGTGTTTTCTTTCCATGGCTCAGTTGTGAAAAGCAGACATTAAACACATGAACGCGTTTCTTCTGCAGGAGACATAAACAACTACATAAACCCACACTGCCACCTGCAGACCAGGAGCTGCAAAGTGTTTAAAAATAAATCCGTTGCAACATCCGCCCGCGTAGATATATCAAAACATATAAATACGTTTTTTCAGTTTGTTAATAATCATAAATTAGTTTGATGCAGAAATATATTTCGAAAGCCTTTTTAAAAATGTGTGTAAACAGACTCGCGCGCTTTCGTTCCTGAGCGACAGGTGGCAGCAGACGCACGCTGTAAACATCCACAGTGTTGCCAAGTCCGCAGTTTTAACGCAGTTTTTGAGCTATTTTTGTGTCAGATAATCGCATAGTCGCATTTGTTTCGTCAAGATGTAATGAGAAACTGTCTAGTGTGACGTGGAAAGAAAACGTTGATCGAATTAGGCAGAAGTAACAAACTGCAAGCTTTGGGTGTTAAATATTTCCTAAAGGCGAATTTTGGCGACTGTTTTGGAGCACACTAGCTCATAGATATCCTTAAAACCAACAGACTGAAACTAAAATCTACATTTTTTATTTTAATTTCACGGGAGCTATAATTTCTTTAATTTCTTTTAATTTAGTCGAGCAACTCCGCTAGTTTTGAGCGACAAATGTTTCATTATTTTGTGAAAACCTGGCAACCTAAAGCGGCTGTTCGCAGCCTGAAGTCGCGCACGCGCATTAGCGCCGCTGCTGTCCGCTGGAGCGCGTATGCTTTTGCTGCACCTCAGAGACGGAGGGTTTTCAGGAGCAGTTTACCGGGCCGTTTGTGTTTATAACTGACACCGTGGACATACTAAAGAATAGACGGTTATATGGACTGACGGACGCTTTGGCGCATTTATTGTGAGGTAAGCTAAAATTTAGCGTTTGTGCCGTTTCGTTAGCGGGTCTGTTAGCAGCGGCTAACATCAAACAAACTGATGGGTGAAATATTTCTGGTTTAACCACAGATAACACAAGTATTTCAGTTATGATGGTCCTCCAAGATGAATAATGCTGATCTATAATGCTAATCTGTATATATATGTGTGTATATGTGTGTGTGTCTAAAGTAAGGTTACTGCAAGAAATCAGTGTACGTTAAAATGTACATTTAAAACGACGCGTTGGACAAATCAGACTGATTGGTCTGATGGATAATGTCAAACAAACATCCTGATCAAGTGTATTAATATCATTTAACCTTAATTAACAATGTATAACATTTGCTCTGATCAATAATATTCGTCACTCTTTAATCTGGTCATTAATGTATAACATTTGTGATCAATAATAATGATCTGTAAAGTGTAACTTGTAATTATTAACAATTAGACACACATTGATCTGATTTGTAATAACATAATCTGATCAGTGATATCAGACACGTTTTAGTTTTTATATAAATAACATCTGTTTCTGTTCTAATCAATAATATTGGTCATTAATGTATCACATCTGATTAATAATATTAGAAACACTCTGATATGTAATGTGTAACGTCTGATTATTACAAATAGAAACACATTGATCTGATTTATAACTTATAATCCAATCAGCAATATCAGACACATTTTAGTCTATTAATATCATCTGTACTAATCAATAATGTTGATGATTAATGTCTAACATCTGATCAGTAATATCAGAAACACTCTGATAAGCAACGTGTAACTTTTAATTATTAATAATAGAAACACGTTAATCTGATTTATAACTTTTAGTCCGATCAGCGATATCAGACATCTTTTAGTCTTGTCTTTATTTGAATAACTTCTTTACTAATCAATAATATTGGTCATTAATGTATAACATCTGATCAATAATATCAGAAACACTCTGAAATGCAACCTGTAACTTTTAATTATTATAAATAGACTCATTGATCTGATTTGTAATGACATATAATCCGAACAGCGATATCTGACACCTTTTAGTCTTGTCTTTAATAACATCTGTTTTGATTAATAATATTGGTAATTAATGTAAACCATCTGATCAATAATATCAAAAACACTCTGATCTTCAATTTGTAACTTTTAATTATTGAAAATAGTAACACGTTGATCTGATTTATAACAATCCGATCAGCAATATCAGACACTTTTTAGTCTTGGCTTTATTTGAATAACTGTTGAACTAATCAATAATATTGGTCATTAATGTATTACATCTGATCAATAATATCAGAAACACTCTGATATGTAACATGTAATTTTTGGTAATTAAAAATAGAAACGCGTTGATCTAATTTGTAACGACTTTTAATCCGATCAGCGATATCAGACACATTTTAGTTTTTATTTGAATAACATCTGTACTAATCAATAATATTGATCATTAACGTATAACATCTGATGATCAGTTTGATCAGAAACACTCTGATCTGTAATGTGTAACTTTTAATTATTAAAAATAGTAACACGTTGATCTGATTTGTAATGACATAGTCTGATCAGTGATATCAGGCACGTTTTAGTCTCGTCTTTATTTGAATAACATCTGTACTATTCAATAATATTGGTCATTAATGTACAACATCCGATCAGTAATATCAGAAACACTCTGATATGCATTGTGTAACGTTTAATTAATAAAAAAAGAAACGCGTTGATTTAATTTATTATAACATTTAATCCAAACTGCGATATCAGACACGTTTTATTCTTTATTTGAATAACTTCTGTACTAATCAATAATATTGGTCATTAATGTATAACATCTGATCAGTATTATCAGAAACACTCTGATATGCAATATGTAACTTTTAATTATTACAAATAGAAAAACATTGATCTGATTTGTAATGACATTTAATCCGATCAGCGATATCAGACACGTTTTAGTTTTTATTTGAATAACATCTGTACTAATCAATAATATTGATCATTAACGTATAACATCTGATGATCAGTTTGATCAGAAACACTCTGATCTGTAATGTGTAACTTTTAATTATTAAAAATAGTAACACGTTGATCTGATATGTAATGACATAGTCCGATCAGTGATATCAGGCACGTTTTAGTCTCATCTTAATCTGAATAACATCTGTACTAATCAATAATATTGATCATTAACGTATTACATCTGATGATCAGTTTGATCAGAAACACTCTGATCTGTAATGTGTAACTTTTAATTATTAAAAATAGTAACGCGTTGATCTGATTTGTAATGACATAGTCCGATCAGTGATATCAGGCACGTTTTAGTCTCGTCTTTATTTAAATAACATCTGTACTATTCAATAATATTGGTCATTAATGTATAACATCTGATCAGTAATATCAAAAACACTCTGATATGCATTGTGTAATGTTTAATTAATAAAAAAGAAACGCGTTGATTTGATTTATTATAACATTTTATCCAAACTGCGATATCAGACACGTTTTATTCTTTATTTGAATAACATCTGTACTAATCAATAATATTGATCCTTAACGTATTACATCTGATGATCAGTTTGATCAGAAACACTCTGATCTGTAATGTGTAACTTTTAATTATTAAAAATAGTAACGCGTTGATCTGATTTGTAATGACATAGTCTGATCAGTGATATCAGGCACGTTTTAGTCTCGTCTTTATTTGAATAACATCTGTACTATTCAATAATATTGGTCATTAATGTACAACATCCGATCAGTAATATCAGAAACACTCTGATATGCAATATGTAACTTTTAGTTATTACAAATAGACACACGTTGATCTGATTTGTAATGACATAGTCCGGTCAGTGATATCAGACACGTTTTAGTCTTGTCGTAATTTGAATAACATCTGTACTAATCAATAATATTGGTCAATAATGTATTACATCTGATCAATAATATCAGAAACACTCTGATATGCAACGTGTAACTTTTAATTATTACAAATAGACACACATTAATCTTATTTGTAATAACATTTAATCAGATCAGCGATATCAGACACCTATTAGTTTTGTAATAGCATCTGTTCTGATCAATAATATTCGTCACACTTTAATCTGGTCATTAATGTACAATGTTTGATCAATAAATTCAGTAACACTCTGATCTGATTTATTAGAATGCAATGCATGTGATTATTTAATCTTAATTAACAATATCAGACACACATTGTCGTTAATATTTAACATTTGCTCTGATCAATAATATTTAATCTAGTCATTAATGTAAAACATCTGATGAATAATATCAGAAACACTCTGATCTGTAATGTGTAACTTTTAATTATTAAAAATAGAAACACGATCTGATTTATAACAATTAATCTGATCAGCAATATCAGACCTGTTTTAGTCTAATAGCATCAGTTCTAATCAATAATATTGCTCATGCTTTAATCTGGTCATTAATGTATAACATCTGATCAATAATATTAGAAACACTCTGATCAGATCTATTAAACTTAACATAAATGGTAAACATATTCCTTAATTCTGATTGGCTGATTTGAATGTTGTTCCAGGATCAACATAGATGTTAATTCAGGAACATGTCCTACTTGGCGAAATCAGATAGTGGATGTTTGTCTCTCCAGAAAATTGTAAATCATTGTTTTTAATTTGCATCGTTGCTTTATTGTGTATATAAAGTCTATATAACTTTATACAAAACACAAAATCATCACTATGAATTTAATATTATAGTAATTCTTTACAAATAGTATCTAATAAGTTGATGTAATCATTTCACAATATCACACAAATTTTTTTAATATTTAATATTTTCACAAATATTCATGTATCACAATAAGACAATTATAATAATATCAGTTGTTCCAGTATCATACAGCTCTTGAATCATAGATCTTAATATTTGCGTGTGATATTTGCACACTGAAAATCAGATCATAATCCGAATAAGCACATACAAATTGTAAAATGTATATAAATGTCTAAAAGTTTACCCTGAGTCTGACAGATCAATAGGTCAATGTCTGATCCCCAGTCAGTCGTTTAATGAATGGGATGAGCAGATGAGCACCGGTGGGTTGCCTAGTAGTGGTTATTTAGGATTCTGACCAGTTTTTTGTGTTTGTGTAAATGAGTTGTTTTTCCTAACCCATCTGTGGAGGTTGTAACTCATTGCACGTTTTATTTGTGAAGGAAAATAAATGAAGATTTTTTTTGTGTGTCTCTCTGCTCTGGGTGACCATCTGTGCAGTGCAGTGCCAGTTCAGGCGTGAATAAAACAGATCACCAAACCATTTTAATATCTAACAACTCTCTTTCAGATGTGTGGATTATTAAATTTAATTTTACATTTTTATTATTCATTAATTCATTCATTCATTCAATGCATGTATAACATGGCATGTTGTACTAGAGTTAGCTATAAAGCTAGTTTACATCTGTAGTTTCTGGGCAAGAAGTTGAAACAAATTTAACCCAATTAAAAAATAAAATATAGTACAATATACACTCACAGTACAATACATCGTAGTCAATAAATCAAAATCATTACATATTTGATTTTTGTTGGATATTTTATGTTGTTTTAATCTGAATAACATTGCAATTAACCCTTTAACAGGCATCCTAACCACCTGGTTGACCTTATTATTATTATTTATATCTATCATTATTATTTTAACTGCTTATTACTATTTATCAACGTTTTGTCAGTATATTATTCAATGCAAGATGTGGGCCAAAAAAATAGTGCACCTTAAAGGGTTAATATATATATATATATATATATATATAATTTTAAATAACCCAATTTTAATGAATTATTTTAATAAATTTTTAATTTATAAATGTTTTAATTATCTCATAAAAAAACTATGTGAAACCCTGTTAGGCCTATACCTTTATTGTTTCATTGTATTATAATTTTTTAAGTGGCAGTTCATTTGACCAACATCAATT